CCCCACACAGTTAGAAGTGATGGAGGAGAGGGGACGTGGTGGTTCCTGGGGATGGTGGCTTTGTTTTCCCCGGCTGCTGCAGGGAAGTCATGACCCGGCTGAAGGGATGCTGGAGGAAGCCCCTCGAGCTGAGCACAGTCCTCCTGGGAGTAAGGGGCGTGAGTGATGGGGTTACTCGGGCACTCAACACCCAGCCCTTCCCTCCGGCACCAGTACCCGGCCGAGGAGCAAGGATGCTCCTGGGCTTGCCAAAGGATGTGCTAAAGGCAAGTCATTTGTGCCAGAGGGGGGAAAAATACATGTTCCCATCCCAGCTCTCCAGGCGCATCCCAGAAAACCCCAACAACAGTCAAGAGGAGGCAAGTGAAACGCACCAGCCGTGGCGGTGGGGCAGCAGGGAGGGGGGGCAGCCCCTCCTGTGGGGCAGGTGGGTTTGCTCTCTACAACACTATCAATTAAAACAAGGCATCTCAGTGAAAGAGGAGAGCACAGAAAGAGGAAGGAGAGGAGGAGGAGGAAGACGAGTGTGGGCTGGCTGCAGCTGGGTGTCCAGCCCCGTGTCGAGCGGCCGATGAAGATGCTGGCTTCCCGCTCTAGTCCTTCCCTTTGCCCTTCTTTGCTGCATCCGAGAAGCACAGGAGACAAGAGTTAGTGTGTCTGCTGGCAGCTCACCAACCCTCGAGGCGCTGCCATGGCAGAAATGCAGTCAGCATGGTGCAGGGGCCACATCCCCGCAGGCAGCCTCCCCCCACCACACAAAGCCACGTTTCGCACCAGCCCTGCTGAGGAGAAGGGGAATCCCTGTCTTATTGAAGCTGGCTGTGACCTGGGGGAGGACTGGGGTTTCCTAGTGACTCCTGCATCCCACCCAGCCAGCAGCTGGACTTCAGGGCTGTCACATGTGCTGATGCAGAGGGAAGAGCACCCTACATGATCCCCCACACCACCAGAAAGCCCAGTCCTAAGTGGTCAAGCTACCCCCTGCCTGGGGTCCCAGCAGGACCATTCTGGGGACAGGAGTGGTGGGGACCGACCTTTGGACTTCGACTTGATCTTGGAAGAGCAGGGCTTGGTCACATAGACGATCTCCTCGCACTGGGCATTGTACAAGGCTTTCTTCAGGATGCCGGAGCGAGTCTTCACGCCCGTCTGAGCACTACAACCCCCCCAGCTCTCAAATTTGTACTTGCAGTCAGCTGGAAGAAAGGGGATGGGCATCAGAGAGAGGAGTG